ACCCCCAATCCCAACCACCATTACCTGGATCCCCTGCAGAGTCCCATTGCTCCTGCACACGGAACCGCGCAACAAGCCCCTGTGCATCCAGATTTCCCACTGAGCTATCTGCACCCAGATTGCCCCAAACAGAAACCTCTCATCCCACACCTGCATCCCCCACACACTAAGCCCCTCCACACTTGGATCATGCCGGGCTAAGCCTGCCTACCCACATCTGGTGCACCTGGCAGAGAGTGGCAGGGCCCTGGGGTGTTTTGGGGGCAGGCCCAGCCTTTGCACTGTGTCAGGTGCAGCCTCACTGCCGAGTCCCCCTGCACTGGGGGAGACACATTTATTGACAAATAAAATTTGCAGAATTTTAAAATATTGTGCGCATAATTTTTAGGCACATAATTCTCTCAGGAGTAAACATTAAATAAACTACACTTTCATATTACAAATTATACAATCTTTATTGTATGAAATGTGTAAGAATTAACATTGAGGAAAAAATGATGAGTAATTATATACAAAAATCCATTGCCTACTCATTTGTCACTTTTATTCACATCACTCATTATTTACATCAACATGACCTCAACAATATCCATTTAATACTAAAACTGAACTGAAACGTTTCTAGTGTTTCCTTCGAAAACAAATAGGATTTCAGTAAGTACTAACTTGGGTTAAAGGGCATTAAGGTTTTTGCTATTTGTCTGTAATCTTTTTACATGTCTGGTAGGCACAGTATAACAACTTGAAATTTACCAAAGAGAGGGAAAACAACAACACTGTGTTATGTAAGATAGGTTATTTTTTTAACTAGGCAACAAGAGCAAAACAAAGGATTAATTTTTTTTTCTATTTTCTTTCATTTAAACTATTACAGAAATGCATTGTACTACAGGACAAACATGTTGTTCCTTGTATCTTCTCATTAAACTTCACTAGCATTGAAGCAAATAGCCTTGGATCCTGTGTACCATTTACTGGGGCTAGGATTTAATGGGTTGGCACATGTAAAAATCTGTAGCAGTCAGCAATGCAGTAGCTGTGTCAGGAAAGGTTTCAAGTACAAAAGAAATTATATTTAGTAGCCTATAAAGCAAAGATGCCTAATCCACTGCAGCACACAGGGCCACGTTAGCAACTAACTATGAAGCAGTGGACAGCATATACATTTTATACAATTAAATCCACAGAGCCACTCCATTTGCTTCTCCTCTGACAAAGAAATTGTTGAGATTCTTCACAAGTAGGTCAGAGCTGTTTTGGTTGAATTCTGCTTTAAACTGACCGTCCAGTTACACAGGGAAGGAGCTTGTGGTATTCTCTTATACCACATTGGTTTCTAGAGCGGACAGGAGAATGGCAATTCCATTTTAAGCAAAAAATTTTAAAAAATTAGTTTGGAATTGAGAATGAAGCCACTGAGGTAGGTGTCACTTTCTCCCTCCCCTGCCCCTGGAACTAAAAAAAAAATACTATAAAGTTTCTTGGAAATAGATAAGTCTCCACAAAACATTTCAGCTTTGTGCTGACCACAAATACTGGTTTCACATCATGTACCCCTCTGTAGAGTTGCCAGTTCTGTTGTCTGCTGTTACAATTGAGTCTGAACAAGAACTCACACTTTGATCCCCTGATGCACTTTGTGGAGAGGAGTCAAAGTTCTGGTACAAATCCAGGTGTGAATTTCAAGATTAAATTTCAAGATTCAAATCTGAATTCTTCTGGTTTCAAAATCTGGACTCACGCTCAGATCTAACTTCTGCACTTTGAGCACATCTCTAGCTCTTTCTATCAAGTTGTCCAAAGACAGTAAAATGGCAGCATTTAATTGGGAGATGACTGACCTGTAGTAATTAAAATTAAAATGTTTAAAACATTGAAATTTATTGCCAACATTTGTAACTAAATTTTTGCATTGCTGTTAATGTTTTAACTGTAGACGTTTCAGCTAACCTCAACATGGTCTTTAATATTGCTTAAGGAAGACTTTTGTATGGACACACACAAATTGCATGGGCAAGTAATATATTTTCATAGGCAAATAGGCACCTACATGTACAAAAGTAGCAACTGATTGTCTGCATTTGCATTCACAAACGTTCCTATAAACGTGGTGGATGGGCATGCAACCAATGGATTATACAGTGATGGACACACAAAATTAAGGGCCTCTTCTTGAAACCTTTTTTTCCCTAAAATACTAACAGGAACAAGACAGCAAC